GTAGACCAAAAAGGGTAGGCCATCTCTGGCTTCACCATACAGCTTCCTGGGGATGGATCTCTCCCAACGGTACTGTTGGTCACTACCTGGGCGTAGGAACAGACATGTCGGCAGGCCCCATGGTAGTATCTTCTGGCAGCTGGTGGTAAGGAATACTGGTGATGTGGATGGATGATGATTGTTGATCTGGTCTCCAAGGAAATTAAAATCCTGTGACAGAAAGGAAAACCAGAATTAGCAATCATCTCATACTCCACATGCCTATCTCCTACTCTAACTATATTCACACAAACATAGCTTTTTAGGATTTAAGAGTCAGTTGTAGACTCTGTATAACGCCATCGTTAATCAGCAGAGAAGATAGGAAACAGAATTCCAACAAGGGAGGTCTCTATGATAGAGGACATTATCACTCTCCTTTTATACCCATATATCCATATTCACACAGTATAAATACATACGTACAAGAATATGGAAATAAATATTTTAAAAATGGTTTTATACCAATATACAGCCATGCACCGGACCATGTTTACGTTGAGTTTATAATGGCCCTGTGTCATCAGACTGCCAATCTCCTGACCCGATCGATGCATGTGTCGTGACCCAGATAATCCCCTGCTAACCTACCACGAGTAGCATATATTTCACAAATGTGATAAGTTTTTGGTTAGGTCTCTGACCTATATGTTCTCTTGACTTATGCTAGGATTCCCATAGAAGAATAACCTCAGCTTTTAAAAAGGATGCAAAGTCTGGGCGATTCCCTGCAATATGGATGTAATGACGCCATGGTTTTGTAACATCTATCATCATCAGGTGCCTTGCCGACTTGTGTGGGCGATCATGCCTCTCCATAATCTGCGATCTCCTGCAGCATGTATCAGTCCGTGTGCCGACACACCTCCATGCCATGCAACAAGACTGTCAAGCATCTTCTCTCGTTGTCTTCCTCTGTCTCTCCTTCCACAGATCTTTCCAGTGGTCACAACATGTTCTATTTTCCCTCTTCTCATAACATGGCCGAAAAATGATGACTGTCTCCTTCTGATGTCTGTGATAAGTTGTCTTCGGGCTCCCACCTCTTTCAAAACCTTTTGGTTGCTCTTTTTGGCTGTCCAAGGTATTCTAAGCATTCTTTTGTAAAACCACATCTCTGAGGCCTCTAGAAATTGTTTGGCTTGCCTACCGATTGTCCAGGATTCACAGCCATATGTTAAAACTGGATGTATGTAGCAAGCAGGGATTCTTTTTCTAACTCTCAATGACAAGGATATTGCACAAGATGTTTTTCATTTTATAAAATGCAGTTTTTGCCTGTCCTATTCTGTTTCTTATCTCAGTTATGCATCTTCCATCTGATGTTATCCATGTGCCCAGAAACTTAAATTTCTGTACTTGTCTTAAAATAACACCATCAACTTTTATTACACACTTAGGAATAATTCTTTTCTTTGATACCACCATTACTTCTGTCTTCCCATTATTCAAACTGAGGCCCATTCTTCCACTTTCTAACACCACAATGTCTATGATTTCCTGTACTTCTTTCTGACTTGTTGCTATCAATACTGTGTCATCAGCATAACGGAAATTGTTTATATTGTGCCCACCAACCACAATTCAGGGCATACCAGTTAAAGATCTCATTATATATTCACTGTATATTGAAAACAAATCAGGTGACAGTACATATCCTTGTCGTACACCCCTCTTTATGCTTTGAAATGTACCTAAACAGTTGTTAATTCTTATAGCTGCTGTTTGCTGCCAATACATATTCTTTATTATTCATAGATCTTTCCCATCAATGTTTAATTTTTCTAACAGTTTGATTACTTCTTCATGCTTCACACAGTCAAATGCTTTTGTATAGTCTGTGATGCATATGTACAAAATCAGTCTTTACTTCTATAGCTCTTTCTGACAATGTCCTTAGGATGTATATGGCATTGTTTGTACCTTTTCCGTCTACAAATCCACATTGTTCATCGCTGATTTCTGGTTTCATTTTGTTTCTTATTCTTCTCATAATTATTCTCAGTGTAACATCTATAGCCAAGCCTAACCTGCATTCAGCAATTGGGTTTACTTACATGGTACTCGTAAACTATAATAGACTTACCCATGCTCTGGATTCTTCTAGGAAACTTGAATGTTTCTTTAATTTGGACAGAAATAAGCACAGAGGCAAAAAAAAGCATCCTTCCACAATGGAGACTTGATAAAAAATATTTTCGACACAAGCGTCTCTTTCGAAGAAAGAGGGGAAAGATTTATCTGCCTCAGGTGGTGATATGCCCATAGGACTTTTGGCCAATGAATCTCTCACCTATGATTATAGATTCAAAACTATAACGTTCCAAAGAGAATTAGGACATATAGAAGTACTTAACTCGACCCAAAGACCTATATTTACAAAAGATGGACTACATAAATATAGAGGCAGGTTGGTTTTTAAACTTAGCATCATCTGCATAGAGGTGACAAGCTCTAGACGAGTCCAAGATGAATGGGTGGCTCGGTCTGTTATGTGACATGCACTAGCAACTTAAAGAGCTCACTACTTGGAGTCACCAAGATAAAATGACTGGACTTTTTGTTTGGACACATCCATGTTTTGACAGCTAAGTTTCTGGGCATTAATAGGTCTAGGAATTTTTTGACAGTAACAAGAAAAGTTCTACAGGGTTCTGAGCAGGCCAGCATAGATTAGTCTGCTCCACCTTACACACATTTCATAAATCATTGTCTGTATATACTTCTCAAAGACACACATTCCCTCAGATCACTGGCAAGTTTCACTCTTATTCTGCTGTAAAACTCTTCTACACCATGGCACAGTGCTGTCGGTGATAGTATTGATGCAGTCACCTGATTACAGTCACCTGATTACAGTCAACTGATTACAGTCACCTGATTACAGTCACCTGATTACAGTCACCTGATTACAGTCACCTGATTACAGTCACCTGATTACAGTCACCTGATTACAGTCACCTGATTACAGTCAACTGATTACAGTCACCTGATTACAGTCACCTGATTACAGTCACCTGATTACAGTCACCTGATTACAGTCACATGATTACAGTAACCTGATTACATTTGCAGCTCACAGAATATGATCTGAGTCTTTGTAGTTATTTGAAATAATTTTAAATACTGGCTGTAATCAATAATCTAATTGCAAAATTGGCTAAATCTGCTTCTCATGGAAGATAACAGCACATATTTGGCAGCATCTGTTTTCTCTTGCATCAAATGTCCACTTAATCAGCCACACACAAAAATATACTGTCTATTAGTTTATCATTGCAGATGAATTAACATGAGTCTGAATTTGTAGTGTCACCATTTACATACAGTTGATTACTCCTTCTCATTGACTGTCAGGGGACCTCTGGGGGGCCTGTAATGGCTGTCTCCTTAACTTTCCCTTCCCCTACCCCCTCTCTCTCACACACTCTCTCTCTCTCTCTCTCTCTCTCTCTCTCTCTCTCTCTCTCTCTCTCTCTCTCTCTCATTCTCTCTCTCTCTCTCTCTCTCTCTCTCTCTCTCTATATATATATATATATATATATATATATATATATATATATATATATATATATATATATATATATAATATATATATATATATATATATATATATATATATATATATATATATATATATATATATATACAGCTTTGCATTTATGGCAATTGGAAAATCTCATGTTACAGCATTGGAATAGATGAAAAAGTGAAAACAACCTAAGGCATTTTGGATGCACGCTGTTGACCTGGTATTTGTATACCCACAACAGCACTAAATGATGAGTGATGTGGTTGACATTGTGTTAATCACTTGTACTTCCCAAAACTATTTTTGGAACCTATTTTAGGCTGAATCTGTGTGCAAGCAAAGAATTTTTTTCTCCAAAACCTCCACTTTGAAGGGTTTTCAAACACACATAGCCACTAGGCCAACAGATAAGCATGCTATCTTCTGCACTAATATACCTCCTACTACAGTAAATATTTTTTTTTCGCTCAACAGATCTGGCTTGTTTGTAGGTCCGATTATTGGTTTCTTGCTTCTCAAGTTGAGGCACACCCACTTTGAAGGGAACATTTCTAATTGGTTGCCTTGTGCATGTTTTTAGGGGTGGTCAGTAGGTCTGTTCTTTTACCTCCAGTAATGAGGCCCCAGAACCTATACAAGATTTTTACATTGTGGTTTTTTCTTCTGTCACTAACTTTTGAAAGAACTAGCACCCCAACTGCACCTCCATACTGTAGATGATGGTAAACCCACTGCATTGTTGCAGACACAGCTATGGGCCACCTGAAAAAGTGGTCACCTCCGGGGTTCTCTCTCCTGTTAGCAGGAGCATCACAGAACAAGGCACTGACTTGCCCTGGCAATCTTCTTTTTCTTCTTTTGTTTACTTGAAATAGATTGCCTATATGTGCAATGTTGTCTCTGGTATGAACTTCACTGTCTTTTGTAATTCACTCAGCGACCCGTAAAGTTTGACGGTCACTGATGTTTCTCTTGGCCAAAAGTTTTGCCTTGATTTGTTGTATTTGGGACAGTCTAAAAGGTTACCAACGTCTGAGGACTTAGTCTAAAGCCATGTGGATATGGAAAGCAAGGGAAAACTACCACATTATTATCCCAAGAAACTTTTTGTGCAAGCTACAATGAAACTTAGTGCCACAGCAGACTAGAGAAAATAATAGCAGAAGGCTTAGTGCCAGAAAGGAGCGGCACTGGCCGAAGAGCACAAAGATATAAGTGACTTTTTGGGTATGAAAATGTTTGAGTAGGAAGAGCTGGTGAGCGACCGAGTGTCTTTCAGGCAAACCGTGATGACAGCATCAGTCTGCAAAGGATCTGCTACATGATTATGAGTAACCAGATGCCCTGTTTTTCTATGATTTATCTTATATTTTTTAATATTTTAATTAACATTATATTTGGTCTTACATTTCACAATTGTATTTGACAGGTTCCGACACGGCAGATGGCAAAGAATCGAGAGACCATTACTGGAGAAGGTCAACAACTTCAGGAAAACATAACTCCTGCCTACAATGCGCAGCAGCAGGCAGTGATGTTTCAGGTTTCAGATGATGGCAAAAGCAGCAGTAGCAAAGTCATCAAACCTGAAGACAAGTTTTTGAAAGAAATTACTGCCAAAATTGCCAGCAGACAGATGAAGGGGCAAAATGGTGAAGATGGCACCACATTTGGAGCAGCTTCTGATGATGCCTCAGCCCAGCATACGGATATTGATACACAAGTAGAAATTCTGAGAGAGCAAAGGAAATCAAAAGATAACGTACACAAGGCCTTGGTAAATGAGCTACGCAGACATTTGTCAGAAGGAGAAGATGGAATGGAGATAGAGAAAGTACCTCCAAGTCTGAAAAAACCAGCTGCTTTAAGGAAGGCATCAGCAGATCTTGACAAGTGCATTAAACCCAGCATTGGCAAAATGGTGATGCATCCGTCTGAAGTTAATGCAGTGGGCAAAAAGAATGCTGTCCTAATAGATAATCAAGTGGAGACCAGTGGACCTGCAGCTGTGCTGTCATTGAATTCAGGGAATGTTCTGGAAAAAACAGACACAGGTCCAGTGGATATTGATGAGCATGAAGAGGAGATTGAGTACTCAGAGCACTCTGCTCTACTGACCACGTCATCAGATAGTGTTCAAACAGACTTAGAAAGAAAAATTGTTTTGTCACAGGAGAAATCTTCAAATATAATATCTATGCAACATTCAATAGAAAAACTTCCACCTGATGAAGCAGATGATTCACTTAGCCAAAGTTTTCAGATTTCTGGAAAGTTAGGGGATCGAAGAGAAAATTCAGACATTCATGGATCATCAGTGAGTGTAGCAAGAAATATGAAATCGGTGAGAGTTGTTAGCAGTCCAAACAGAAGAGTTAACAACATAACTCCAGCTGCTTTGGCTGCTACAGTTACCTGTGCTGCCCCTGCAGCAGCTGATCCATTCTTAATGAGAACAGAGCACTCGCCTAAAGTGGCACCGAAACCTAAACAAAAGGAACGTCATTCACTTCCTGCAGGTCATTTGTTTCTGTCACCCTCTGAAAGCTCTGAGTTGTCAGTGGAAACTGTTGGCAGACCAAAGAGTGAAAATGTGGACAAGTACAGAAATGAGCAGCATCAAGATGAGAGCATTGCTTAACATGGAATACACTGTTTCTAATGATTTTACCTTAGTTAAAGTTCAGCAGTAAGAATCATGTCACACTCAGCGAATATTTTTTGCAAATTTTTACTGTAAACTCTAATAAAAGTTTATCATAAAATCTCATAAATTATAAATACTAAATAACAAGCTAAACAAAATGTCACTTCTTTACCAGGCTTTTTTGACTTAAGTTTAGAAGTACAACAAAAATTAACCAGTTTTTAAAGAAATATTACAGCAGCTAATATTTGTAGCTGGCAAAATTATGAAGCATAAACATTGCATATATTCATTAAGACAGCACACAGTAGTAGTTTAAATAGTAGTTTAAAACTGTCACACTACAGTAGGTATACAACAAGCAACCTTAAAGGCAGGAAAGTTGAGGGAAGACATTATTATACTTACTGGCAGAAATATTGAATAATTGTACATCATTTCTCTTGTGTTAAAATCTTCAAAGCAGAAAGAATATTTCTTACAAATTAACTTATATAGATTCAGTCATCATCATCATCAGGTGCCTTGCCAACTGGCTTGGGCGATCATGCCTCTCCATAATCCACGATCTCATGCAGCATGTATCAGTTCGTGTGCCAACACACCTCCATGCCATGCAACAAGACTGTCAAGAATCTTCTCTCGTTGTCTTCCTCTATCCCTCCTTCCACAGATCTTTCCAGTGGTCACAATATATTCTATTTTCCCTTTTCTCATAACATGGCTGAAAAATGATGACTGTCTCCTTCTGATGTCTGTGATAAGTTGTCTTCGGTCTCCCGCCTCTTTCAAAACCTCTTGGTTGTTCTTTTTGGCTGTCTAAGGTATTCTAAGCATTCTTCTGTAAAACCACATCTCTGAGGCCTCTAGAAATTGTTTGGCCTGCCTACCGATTGTCCAGGATTCACAGCCATATGTTAAAACTGGATGTATGTAGCAAGCAAGAATTCTTTTTCTAACTCTCAATGACAAGGATATATTGCACAAGATATTCTTCATTTTATAAAATGCAGTTTTTGCCTGTCCTATTCTGTTTCTTATCTCAGTAATGCATCTTCCATCTGATGTTATCCATGTGCCCAGATACTTAAATGTCTGTACTTGTCTTAAAATAACTCCATAGACTTTTATTACACATTTAAGAATAATTTGTTTCTTTGATACCATCATTACTTCTGTCTTCCCATTATTCAAACTGAGGCCCATTCTTCCACTTTCTATCACAATGTCTATCATTTCCTCTAGTTCTTTCTGACTTGTTGCTATCAAGACTGTGTCATCAGCATAACGTAAATTGTTTATATTGTGCCCAACAACCATAATTCCGGGCATATTAATTAAAGATCTCATTATATATTCACTGTATATTGAAAAATATTCTGGTGATTTGTAAACTTGCTCTGCAATTCTGAGATACCCAATTCAATTCTGGCTGTAGGTGATCTGACAGCAGACTTTTGCATTGATTTTGAAAATGGTATTGAATATATAAAGAATATATAGATTCAATATCATTTTCAAAATCAATGCAAAAGTCTGCTGTCAGATCACCTACAGTCAGAATTGAACTGGGTATCTCAGAATTGCAGAGCAAGTTTACAGAGCTTAAGCCATGGACGCTGGCTACAAAATTAATTAAACAGTATTTTAAAACGCAAAATTCACAAAACTGCACATATTAATAGTTAGTTGTATATTATTTGTAGAACGCTGCAGAACCAACCCAGCAGTTTGTGGTTGTTTGCATGGTAATAGCATCAAACAAACATGCAACTCATAATTTAAGAATAGAATAGTCATAGTTTTAATATTCATTGATTTTCCAGGAAAATAACTGATGAAAGAAAGTGTTTTGCTAAAGATTAAATAGAAAACGAAATGGTACATAATGTTTGAAAATTCCATGATAGCCACAGAATGACTAAAAGCAGCTAAGAATGAGTGATTTAAAGTTATGCACGTATTAAGTTGATAAAGAACAGTTGTTAGAGACCGGAAAAATTACAACATGTACAAACTTGTTTCTGGTAATCAAGCAAGAAATTGAGAATATTTCCATGATCAATATTTTTAAATTGGTTTTGTTTGTAAAAGAATGCAGGTGGTAGGAAGGCATTTAATACTTTGACAAAGCATACAGAAATCAATAGACAGATCAGTACTCTGTCCTAGAAAGAAGCAATTTAAAAAATAAAAAACATTGTGTACAATAACTAACCGGGACTTCAAGAAGGTATGACAGTGGCTAGTCAGATATAGAAACCTTTGTTTACTTTTTCTTGTGAAGACTTCAACTGACACATCTGATTAAAAGCCAGAGCCATTATTGTTGAAATGCCAGATATATGAATACTCCTCTGCCTGTAATACAGAGATTTTGTATTGTTGTTATCATTGCATCATTATCTAATTATGACCCTGGGAAAAACATACTTCATAATTCCTGAAAGCTTTCAGAACTTGTTTCACAATGAATACCCAGAGACCATCCGCATGATTGCTATTGAATATCATAATGTAAGCATTATCATGCTGCTTCACTTACAATTAATGTTGTTTATAATTCACTACTTCACTATTGTCTATTGTCTAATCGTTGGTGAAATTTAATAGCTGTTTAGAAGTGAATGTTTTAACACATGTACTGTATTTCATATTTATTTGATTATTTTACAACAATTAACCAAAACAATAAGAAGCCAGGCCACATCTCATCTGAAGGCCAGATTTACATTTGAAACAAATCCTAGATTCACTGACTCTGGGATTGGTAATTTGTGTTCAGTATATTGACTGCTTTTAAGTGTTCTGAGTATGATATTTTTTTTTAATCTGTGGGTTTGTTTAAAAAATTTTTTTTACGCTTACCGCTTATATTGCTGACCTCATTTGTAGATCAATTAACAATAATTTTATAGTTTTATTCTAACAGCACATGATTGATTAAACATAGACAGTAAAATCATCATTTTTTTAAATTCTGAAGTCTCTATTTATTGTGTTGTGCTGGTTGTCAATCAGGTGGGGTTGTCAATCAGGTGGGGTTGTCAATCAGGTGGGGTTGTCAATCAGGTGGGGTTGTCAATCAGGTGGGGTTGTCAATCAGGTGGGGTTGTCAATCAGGTGGGGTTGTCAATCAGGTGGGGTTGTCAATCAGGTGGGGTTGTCAATCAGGTGTGGTTGTCAATCAGGTGGGGTTGTCAATCAGGTGGGGTTGTCAATCAGGTGGGGTTGTCAATCAGGTGGCTTTCATCGCTACTATTATTACTCAGTGTCCATTACATACATTAGTGACTAAAAAACCAAAAATATTTTTATTGTTGCTATTTTCTCTATTTTGTAAAAATTAACTTTTCAGGTACACTATAAATTTTTGAACTTATGTCCTTTTCTGTCTATTCACATGATATGGCTTGCTGTCTGCCACTATTTCCTCATATCTGTGCCTCATATCTGTGATTACAAGCTTTCCTCATATCTGTGCCTCATATCTGTGATTACAAGCTTTCAGTAGGTTATTGATGGGGGTCAGTATCCTCTTGATGTGATTTTTCTAGAATCTATGCCTTTAAAAAAAAATTCTTCTGCAATTTCTTGTTCAGCTAATGAATATCCTAATTTTCATGAATGCATTTAAAATCATATTTTAAGATAAGTTTATAGGGTGTGCGTTATTAAAAGTCTATGGCTAAGCACCATCAAGCAAATCGAAGTCAGAATCGCGAGCATGCATCTTTCCTGTTGCCATATATTTTTGTGAGTCATGGACTATCTAACAATCATTTTTTTTTTAAATAGTTTGAGTTTGAGCTAAAATGCTGTAGAAAGATTGTAAAAATACTAAGGAACAACAACAACAGAAATATTGAGATCCTAAATGTGAAGGAATGTCAAGAAAACTGGACCATAAACAGCATTTTTTCTCAGAAACTAAAATATTTGAGCCATATCAAACATCACAGTGGACTGGAAAGGACAATTGCAGTGGACGTGGTACCAGGCAACCAGAACAGTGTCTGACCAGCATAAAAATGAGCTCAGGACATAAAATAGACCTTGGACAGGAAAGGGAATGATGCTGGAGATCTGATAAGGAACTGAGCTTCTTTATGGAAGGCTGTGATGGGAGCAGAGTCCGTCAAGAACCAGCTATGTGACAAAAAGGTTATGTTTAAATTTCTTAAATTGTAAATGCATGCCTTTTCCATACATAATGGGTTCCACAACAATCTTTTTTCAGTTCATCTTTTGGTCAGAGTGTGATAATATTTCATAGTCTACAATAAGCAACAATGTAGTGTCAATGTTAAACATCTTAGTCTACATTACACAAACATATAGTGAGTATAGGAAACATCTGTCCAGAATCTCACAAACTTTAACAATGGCTATAGTGAAAAGTAATCAAGTTTACCTGCCACTGGAAACATAAACAAAGACCCACTCTTCACCAATAAACATCACATAACCACCAATAAACATCACAAAACTGGCACAATGACATTATTGACTCTCTCAGTTCTCAACTGCTTTGGTCAGAAAAAATTCGCTTGGCCACTATCTTTCCAAACAATATGCCACCGCTGTTACATAGAGATTGTACATTCTGTACAATCAGCCACCACTGGCCGACAGTGCAACACTGAATGTAGGCAGACAGTGCATCCCTGAATATACGCAGACAGTGCACCACTAAATGTAGGTAGACAGTGCAACACTGAATACTGGTAGACAGTGCAACACTAAATGTAGGTAGAAAGTGCATCACTGATTGTAGGCAGACAGTGCATCATTGAATGTAGGCAGAAAGTGCACCACTAAATGTAGGTAGACAGTGCAACACTGAATACTGGTAGACAGTACAACACTGAATGTACGTAGAAAGTGCATCACTGAATGTAGGCAGACAGTGCATCACTGAATGTAGGCAGACAGTGCCTCTCTGAATGAAGGCAGACAGTGCCTCTCTGAATGAAGGCAGACAGTGCATCACT